TAAGCAGGACTGAAATCCAAGAAGGGCCCTTTCTCTTCACACCATGTAGTCAACAGGCCACTTGACTCAACAACTTTTTTTATTCTCACGAAGGTGAACCATGAAGCTAGTGGCTGCCATGACATTAATTATATCACTTCCGACCACAAAAACAGATTTCAGCCTTTGTGAGAATAAAAATATTAGCTTTTGACTGCTTTGCAAGTCATAGATTTCTTTTAGATTAGGTTTTGACTGCTTTGCATGCCATACATTTTTTAACCTCTCCACCTCTGTCAGTTCAAGCAAATAATCCAACATCTAACCAATGATAAGGGCATTCAGGAATTTTCAGGCTGCTGAGAACCAAGGTAAGGGCATTCCCTTGTCAAGCCTCTCGCTTCCCTGGCACTACTCACTTTGCTATTGCAAGGAGAGGAAAAAGTCACCACTCCACATTACAAAAGGCCATGTATGTGAGCATCCTTACCTTCAGATTTGGGGAGATTTCACAGGTTCTTGGAGCCTGATTTTTCTGCTGCATCTCAGAAGATGGTGTCTGAGAGAACTTCTCAGAGACACATCCGGGCCTGGGTACACCCCAAAAGGAGTGAAAGCAGAGACTTGAAGAGATACCTGGACACCCATATTCACAACAGCTGAAAGGTGAAAGCATCTCAAGGTGCCATCAACAGATGAATGAATACATGAAATGTGGTGTATCCACACAATGGAATATCATTCAATCTTAAAAGGAAGGGAATTCTGATGTGTGCTACAATATCAATGAATCCTGAAGACATTATGCTAAATAAAATAAGCCAGTCATAAGAGGACAAATATCATATAATTCTAATTCTGTGAGGTACATAGAGTAGTCACATTCATAGACACAGAAAGTAGAATAATGGTTGCCAGGGACTGGGAAGAAGGAGGAGGGGGAATGTCTAATGGGAACAGAGTTTCAGATTTGCCAGATGAAGGATTTTAGAGATGGATGCTGGTGATGATTGCACAAAATGTGAATGTCCTTAATGCCATTGAAGTGTATACCACATGGTGTAGGTAGCCTTTTTATGTCCATTGTATAGAAGAGACTGAGGCGCAGAGAGGTTGAGTCACTTACCCAGAGTTACACAGCTTGGAAGTGGGGGTGCAGGGATTCTAAGTGACTGCAGAGCCATAGTTCTCAACTGTTGCAATTTGGTGCTCCATCAGGCTATCTCAGCCCTGCTTGGGTTGAGGGATTCAGGCTCTGGAAGGACCTACGAACCTAATACTGAGATGCTCAGTCCTGAAGCTTTATTTATGAGCCCTGAAAACTAGCTGAACCCAGCGCACCCATACTCAGCTTGTACCTTTGGGATGTGGTATCCCCAGAACTGGATGTCCTGGGTGACAGCATGGTGCATGCTCAGAGGTATGATGTCTGCGAATCTTATGGAGGACAGCATTCGTGAATGGCATCTGGGCCCTGTCCCCCAGGCAGTGCCATTTCTCTGACCCTACTACTTGGTCAAACTCTTGCTATATGAGAAAAGTGGGGGGTGGGGGTGGGAGAAAGTTCTGACCATGAGAAGGCTTATTGACCAAGGCACCTATACTAACCTCAACTTCTCAAACTTTAAGCTCAGATTTGTATTACCAGCAATCACCCTTCCAATATCTTCCCCCAGCAATGTGCTATGAGTTCTTGGTCCTTGTATGTAGCTCTATGGCATTAGGCTGAGAAAAGAAAGGGCTAGTCCTGACCTGTGAGTACTTCAGGAAGATCAGGACCCCATATCTGAGGGTGATGCTGGTTGTCTCTATCCCCCAGAAAAGATGTCGAGAGCAGAATTGAGCAAATTATCTTGGCTGACTTGTGTGTGGGGTCCCCTTGCTCCTACATACAAAAATACAGAATGTCAGAAGTAGAGGAGAGTCAAGAGAGACCATCTATCCAGACTAGGTATGGCAGATACATGCTACTCCACTTCCACTGCCTCGGTCTTTACCCATAGCAGGCATCATCAGTCAATCCCAGAATCCTTCTCAGACCCCCATTATCAAATGAACAAAGTAGACATACGAGATGAAGCCTATTTATAGTTCTAGATCTAGACCAAAGGCTCCTCTGATCAGTACATCACAATTTCTGATAGAAAACCTGAGATCCAGAGATATGGAGAAAATTTTACTTGGTCACACAGTTAACTGAAAAGCATTTGGGACCGAAGTCTCTACAATCCCATTCAAGGATGCTCTAAGATCCTCAGATCCCAGAACAGATCTTGCTCCAACTCTCACCTGCTACATGCAAATGAGGAAGGCACTTGTTGCAGGCTGAGTCCGTGGGAAGTGACTGTGAGATAGACGTTAGCACACAAGATTTCTATTAGAGAAGACCTGTGGTTTGGGCAAAAGAGGAAAGGAAGCAGGCCTGGGTAGAGGGAGAAGTCAACCCATGATGCCTGCTTCTTGAGGACCTCAAAGACTCCATTGTGCTGACCAGAATGGTACCAGCAGAGTAGGGAAAAGACCATATGTCTTGGGAGAGAAAGAGGCTTTGGAGAGAGTGTTTTGGCATCCACTGTTTCCTCAGCCTTAAGTGCTGTTCCCTGTCCTCTCCTCTCTTGTTCATCACCAAGGTCTCAAGTTGGAGGCAGTATCCTCCAGAAAGTCTTCACTGACTTCCCCAACCTCCCTGCCTCTGAGCTGTTGAGCTGTCTGACTCTCATCCCTGACCCCTCTGCCTGTGCTTTCCCCACCCCAGCACTGTCCATTCTGAGCTGTCACTTTCTTGTGACTGTTTTATCTCTTGCTCTGGATTGAGAGCTCAATGAGGGCAGGTCCCAGTGCTGTCCTGGTCACCACTGTGTCCTCAGCATCACCCAGCACAGGTGGCATGGAGTAGTGGTTCAATGAATATTGACTGAATGATAGGTATGTCTGTCACAGCCCTGACTACTCTGGATTATTATTGTCTGCTGACAGGTCTGTTTATTCCACTGGGCTGAGTCCCATGAGAACAGGGCTGAGATGTTTTGCCTCTGCTATGTCTTCAATACCAAGTAAAGAGCTGGACACAACATAAGGGTTCCTGGTGGAAATTTGGATGGATGATAGGGCCTCAGAGAAAGGGTTGTGGGACTGTGTGTGTGTCTTTAAATAACTGCACCCAAAATGTGTTCACCTACTTCAGGTTTTCCCACCTGAAATTTCTCAGGATATAGTCCCAGAAGTGAGATTACTGGGTCAAATGGGAGTGCCATTTTTAACTTTTTGAGAAAACTCCATACTTTCTTCCACAGTGGCTACACCAGTCTGTATTCCCATGTGCAGTGCACTAAGGTTCCTTTGCCTCTGGCAGCTATAAAAAAGAAGGAACTTTTACCATTTGCAACAGCATGGATGGAACTGGAGAGCATTATGCTAAGCGAAATAAGCTAGTTGGAGAAAGATAAATATCACATGACCTCACTCATATATGGGATATAATGAACAGTGTAATTTGATGAACAAGAATAGATCCTGAGACAAATGGCAGGGGAGGGGGGATTAAAGAGCAACCAAAGGACTTGTATGCATGCATATTAGCATAACCAACGAACACAGACACTGGGGCAGTGGGGGCTTGCCTGGGGTAGGAAAGGCTGGGGTAGGGGAGTTAATGGGGGGAAAGGAGACATATGTAAAACTTTAGACAATAACTAAATAAATATATTGCTAATAAAAATAAAAGAGAAAAAAAGTACAATGGCAAAAAACGAAAAAGAAGGTCTTGAAATCCTCATCCTGGTAGTCAAAATGATGGCAAAGACCACAGAGCAGATGATGCTTGAAACAGAGGGGTGAATCAGGAAGGTGAGGTGAAAAGGTGTGCCTCTGTGTAGGCTGCAGCTACAGCAATCTCTTCCCAGCACACATCTGACCCCATCACTAACCTGCTCAAAATCATGTCATGGCTCCCCAGTGCCCTCAAGACACAGTTCAAGTTTTTAATATGAATAAAAGGATCTCACCTTGTATGGTCCCTCCTCATCACTCCAGCCTTGCCTCTCACTACCTCCTCCCACTCTATAGGCTCCAAAAAACTGGAACTTTTCCCAGTTATTCAGAGCATCAAAATCCCTCATCCCTGGATCTTTTACCTTTCTGCACATCTCTCATCTTCCTAAACTGACTCACTTCTACTCATCCTGACTCAAACCTTTCCAGGAAGCCGCCTCTGAACTTCCCTCCTTGTCTTGGTCTAGATGAAGAAACTGAGGCCCAGGGAGGGCAGCCACTTGCCATAACCTACATGTGGTAGAGCCAGCTTTTAATCCAGGTGTAGAGGACTCCAGGGCATAGTTTTGAAGCCTCTGTACTGGGAGTACTTTAATGGTGGTCCAGGCGCCCTTAGCGTTTAGGTGGTCTGTGAACTTGGATGGGAAGCAAAATTGCATCTTTTTCACTAATCTCTGTTAGAAAGTTAGCCTTTTCTTCAGTTAAGAAGGCAGGTCACAGTGACCGTGATATCGGTAGTGGTAATCAACCAATGGAAACCACAGATAATTTCATGGCACATTACAGCTTTAGGTCTCGCAATAGCATCTAGACTCATCACCACTCTATACAACCACACCATTATCTAATCCCAGAACTTTTTCATCTCCCCAAAAGATAATCCTTCGTCCATGGGGCAGTCATTCCCCATTCTCTCCTCTTCTGGCCCCTGACAACCACCCTACATACTTTCTGCATCTGTGGATTTGCCTAGCCTGCATATTTCATATAAATATAATCATAATATGTGACCTTTTATGTCTGGTTTCTTTCATGAATTTAATTTTATGTAATTGTCCAGGGCAGCATAGTGCATTGTAATGTGTAAATGGGCAAAAGAGGATTTGTAGCAAAGAGGATTCTGTGCACAAATTGGTATTTGGTAGTGAAGGGAGGTGGGGGGCAGGGGAAGCAATGTTTATTGAGCACATATTATGTCCGATTGTTTATCTGAGTGTTTTACATATATCTGTATATATTTTTTATTTATGCTCCTTTTATTTAGGATTTCCATTATTTAAGTTCACAGGACTATCTACAGAAACACTAGGCTGACATGATCAGAGACAATTCATCCCCTCCCTGCTCTGCTTCCTGCAGGCCCAAGGGAACATATAGCCCTTGTCTCACAACAAAAACTCTGTACATGCAAATAAAAACAAAACAAAACAAAAAACAATTAATGACTATCTACAAGGCTAGCTCTTTGTAGAGGCTGCAGGTTCTGGAGACTGAAGAAATTCGTACGGGTCATGGGTCACATCTGGTTGCTCACAGACACTGAGGCGAGAAGGACTTCCCAAGTGGTACTGGTCCCTGTTGAAGGTGTTAGACAGGGAGCTGAGGTTGGACGATGGCCCGGAGCTCCCACACTCTGCTTGCGCCTCATGCAGATCCTGTAGGAGCTTTGTCATCTCGCCCAAGTTCAGATGGCGGTCATCATGGTCCAGCTCCTTCTTCGCTTCCCCCAGAGAGCTGAGCATGGAGATGACCAAAGAGATGTCAGAATACGACTTCATTGACATGAAATCTAGCACAGAGCCACTATCTCCTAGGGAGTCCCCAGTCTTTACTTCATCTGATGGCTTCATCATGACATTTATCCTCTGCCTCAGCATCCAGGAGGGTCTCCGCCTGTGATCTGGTCCCAGAGGTCATCCACCATTCTCTTTTTGTAGCTCCCAGCATTCTTCACAAACTCCTGCAGATTTAACTCACACTGCATACCTGTCTCATCTCCATAGGCAGATACAGAATGATTATGCATTGAAAGTGCAGTACTGGCACTTGAGAGAAACATGACTTTGCTCCTTCTCTCATCTCTGAAGCCCACAGTGGTGAAGCTGAAGCCTGGAAGCAGCTTGTCAGAGAGGGAGCTCAGGTTCACCGGGTGGGTCTCCTCCTCTTCGGCATCTGGCTCAGCCGTGTTGACCAAGCCATAGAGCAGGCTCCCGCTCTTCTTCAGGTAGTCTATCTTGCCACCTGGAGGGAATCGGTTGATCCTGCCTCACAGCCCTGCCATCCCCCCCACACCTCACCAGGTCTCACCATCTTCCTGGTTGGTCCTCTTGGAAATGGTCATCTCTGGATGCCCTCTGAAGGTGGCTGCCTGCTCTATCTGATTCTCGTGGAGCACCTCATAGCTGCATAGCAAGTCTACCAGGGTCGGGCCCAGGTGCACTATGAACAGGTGAACAGTGAGCACCTGCCCATAGTAGGCCTTCACCTGCAGCATCAGGGTGGGTGGCTTTGAGCCCCAAGGAACCACCATGTGTCTGTGAATCCATCTGTGGGGGCTCCGGGCCATCGTCCAACCTCAGCTCCCTGTCTAACACCTCTGTGGCTGGCCCCCTGGGTCTCAATTTCACTGCTCACAGTCTCTCTGGGCATTTCTCTCCCTGTGTCTTTTAATCCTCACCCTGAGATATATTTATACTGATTTTGAGAAAGAAAGAAAGAAAGAAGAACGAACGAAAGAAAGAAAGAAAGAAAGAAAGAAAGAAAGAAAGAAAGAAGATTGAGAGATGATAGATGATAGATAGATAGATAGATAGATAGATAGATAGATAGATATGATAGATAGATGATAGATAGAGAGAGAAACATTGATGTGAGAGAGAAACATGGGTCAGTTGCCTGGTTGTTTTCTCATATGTGGCCCAACCAGGGGATTGGACCCGCAACTCAGGTATGTGCCTGACCAGGCATTGAACCCAAAGCCTTTTGGTGGATGGAACAACCATCCAACCATCTGGCCAGATGGTTATTTTTTTTCTTTGTTTAAACCTTTGCAATTATTAGTTTATTAGTATCATCCAGGACTCAGATGTTCACTATTCCTCCTGTAAGTACATAAACAAATGCAAATATCCAAGTCAAAATTATATAACAAAACAGTGTAAAATTATAAGATCGCTATTTTATTTATTTTTTTTATTTTTTGACTTTTTAATTTTTATTTATTTTTTAAATATATTTTATTGATTTTTTTTGCCCCCCTCCCTCCCATACATACCCTCCCTCCCCAGAGTTTTATGTCCATTGGTTGTATTTATATGCATGTATACAAGTCCTTTGGTTGATCTATTATCTCCCCCAAATCTCCCTCCCCTCCCCGCTGTAATTTGGCAGTCTGCTTGTTGCTTTACTGTCTCTATATCTATCTTTTGGTTCATCAATTTATAATGAAGAATGCTATTTTAAAACACAGGCACTGTAAGAAAATGTCAAAAACCACAAGATTGCCAAATTGTTTCCTAAACAGCTAAGTGGATAAACATAACCCTAATGGGTTTTGAGTCTTACAGAAATCAAATTCAGAAAAATTGGACAATTCAATCTGTGATACAAAGTTTATTTCCCTTATGTCTATTTGATTTTATAAAGGGGCAAACTATAATTTGGAAAATATACTTGATCTTAAACATGGCATTCAATTTTAAAAGTTGGCCCATTAATTAAATATACCTTTAATGGAGTCTCAAGTTTCCTAAGCAATCCATATTTAGATAAATAAAAGACATTAACAGTCAGCACTTTTTTTTTCCTTCAGAGCCTTTGCCAGGACTAATGTCAACAAAAAACTTCATACCGCAGTCTTGCATTTTAAGCTCACGCTTTTGGGGATACATTCTCAGGCCTTCTTTAATGTGGGAACTGCAAACATAACTGCCATTACCTGGTAATAGGGATTAAAAAAAGTCAAGTCCTCATGTAAAGATTAGAACATACTTTTCTATTAGTCCTTTAAGGACAGACTTGCAAATGTTTATTCTAATAATCCCATGCGTGAGTAGAGCAGTCACTTTTCACTTTGCAAGTATAATGGTGCTATATGAAAATTACCAACTGACCAAGATTTTGAGTTTGTTATGGAGGAAAACTGTCTCAATTCAACTCTCATTACCCTCATCCCAATTATGCAGGGTGTGTAGACAAAAGCATTTTATCAGCTAACTATATGAAAAGATAAACACTGTAATCATATGATCCAAAATGGGCAAAAGCAAGACAAGCTTCCCTCAAGAAGAAAAACATCAGACCTGTGACAAGGACAACAATACTAATAATTTGTATTTTATGTAAGTAAATACAATTTGTAAGGAAATACAATATGTAAGTAAATACAATTTGAAAATTGTATTTACTTAGAAGCATTCAGAATGTCAACAAAACAGCTGCAACTTTATTTGCAATTACAGAGTGTTATTCAGTGCACAGAACAAGCATTATTTCTTTTCTTTTTAAAAAAATATATTTTATTGTTTTTTTACAGAGAGGAAGAAAGAGGGATAGAGAGTTAGAAACATTGATGAAAAAGAATCATCAATCAGCTGCCTCCTGCATCACCCCCACTGGGGATGTGCCCACAACCAATGTACATGCCCTTGACTGGAATCGAACCTGGGACCTCTCAGTCCGAAGGCCAACGCTCTATCCACTGAGCCAAACAGGTTTCTTTGTTTCTTTGTTTCTTTGTTTCTTTGTTTCTTTCTTTCTTTCTTTCTTTCTTTCTTTCTTTCTTTCTTTCTTTCTTTCTTTCTTTGTTCCTTTCTTCCTTCCTTCCTTCCTTCCTTCCTTCCTTCCTTCCTTCCTTCCTTTCTTTCTTTCTTTCTTCTTTCTTTTTTAAAATATATTTTATTGGTTTTTTACAGAGAGGAAGAGAGAGGGATAGAGAGTCAGAAACATCGATGAGAGAGAAACATAGACCAGCTGCCTCCTGCACACCCCCTACTGGGGATGTGCCTGCAACCAATGTATATGTCCTTGACCAGAATAGAACCTGGGACCTTTCAATCTGCAGACCGAAGCTCTATCCACTGAGCCAAACCGGTTTCGGCAACAATTATTTCTTAAAAGCTGCATCAGAGACAACTGATGATGAAAAACCACCATCCCGCCGAAGTCAGTTTGGCTCAGTGGTAGAGCGTTGGTCTGAGGACTGAAAGGTCCCAGGTTCGATTCCGGTCAAGGGCATGTACATTGGTTCCGGGCACATCCCCAGTAGGGGGTGTGCAAGAGGCAGCTGGTCGATGTTTCTCTCTCATCGACGTTTCTAGATCTCTATCTCTCTCCCTTCCTCTCTGTAAAAAATCAATAAAATAAGTTTAAAAAAAAGAAAAAGAAAAACCACCATCCCCATAGAAAACTAATTTGTGCTGTGCACCAACAAGAACCTGCTTTAAATTTCCATGCCACTTTACAGCCCCCAGACTGTACCAGGCAAGGTTAGTGGCTATTGAAAACACCAACAGGACAGGGCTAGCTAAAGACACATGTGGTAGTGTGTTAACTGCACAAAAAAAGACACTGTACAGGTTAAAAACAAATCTTACACAGTCTTACATTTCAATTTTTTTCTTTAAGAGGAATGAGTTGTGTACAGGGAGGTTAAATGCTTTATAGACAAGAAAAAAATAACTGTGCTTGAACCACTTATTCATCATCTTTTTTGGTTTTTTTTTGTTTTTTTTTCATTTTTTTATTAAGGTATTATATGTGTACATATCTTCACATTTCCCCCTCCCACCCCACTCCCATAGATGATCTCACCCCCCAGTGTTTTGCGTCCATTGGTTATGCTTGTATGCATGCATACAAGTCCTTTGGTTGATCTTCTTTTATTTATTTAATAAATCTTTATTGTTCAGATTATTACAATTGTTTCTCCTTCCCCCCCCCCCATAATTCCCCTCCACCCGGTCCCCACCCCACCCTCTACCCTTATCCATATGTGTATGTTTTTTGTCTAGTCTCTTCCCATACCCCCCACTCAGACACTTCTTTCCCCCTGAGAATTATCAATCCCCTCCCATTTTATGCCCTTGATTCTATTATACTCACCAGTTTATTCTGTTCTTCAGATTTTTCAGATTCACTTTTGATAGATATGTATTTGTTTTTCATAATTTTTATCTTTACTTTTTTCTTCTTTTTCCTCTTTTTAAAGAACACCTTTCAGCATTTCATATAATACTGGTTTGATGGTGATGAACTCCTTTAGCTTTTTCTGATCTGTGAAGCTCTTTATTTGGCCTTCAATTCTGAATGATAACTTTGCTGGGTAGAGTAATCTTGGTTGTAGGTTCTTGCTATTCATCACTTTGAATATTTCTTGCCAATCCTATCTGACCTGCATAGTTTCTATTGAGAAATCAGCTGACAATCATATGGGTGTTCCCTTGTAGGTAACTGTTTTTCTCTTGCTGCTTGTAAGATTCTCTCTTTGTCTTTTGTTCTTGGCATTTTAATTACGATGTGTCTTGGTGTGGTCCTCTTTGGATTCCTTTTATTTGGGGTCTGTGTGCTTCCTGGAGTTGTAAGTCTATTTTTTTCACCAGGTGGGGGAAGTTTTCTGTCATTATTTCTTCAAATAGGTTTTCAGTGTCATGCTCTCTCTCCTCTTCTGGCACCCCCATAATTCTGATGTTGGTACGCTTGAAGTTGTCCCAGAGGCTTCTTACACTGTCTTCAACTTTCTGGATTCTCTTCTCTTCTTGCTTCTCCGGTGTGGGATCCCTTAACACAACCCGCGTGGTTCAGAGCCCACTCAGGGTCCGGTTTCTGGAGAAGGCCGCACACTAAAATGAAGAGAGAGACTGGAAAAGAGTTAATTTGGGAAAATGGGGGCCAGGCGGGACGTCTACCTCTAGTGGGAAGACTAACCGCTCTCTGGCCTTTTACTATTCCTTTTATTGAGATTCTGAAACAAAGACATCTCTTAAGGGGGAAGTTCCAACAACAGAAAATCAACTTACATTTACATATGATTAACAAATTAAAGTTGCCTCAGGCACCACTATCTCAACTAGACAATGAGTTAATAGCTCTGACCCCTCAGAGCCATCAAGGTCGGCTAGCTCTTTTTACATTTTATCTCCAGTGACAATGTTGGGTTTTGGTTCCCTGTTCCTGGTTCCCGGCACTCCGGCACTCCGGAGGAGTGTCCTTTGCCTCTTTGTATTCTGAATCTTTGACTTGAATCTTGCATTCCTCTAGTCTGCTGTTGGGTCTCGGTAAAATATTTTTTATTTCAGTCAATGTATGTTATATTTTAGTTAATTAGTCCTCTTTCATATCCTCAATGGTCTCATTAAATTTACCAGCCTTTTCTAGGAAATTCTTGAAAAACCTTATAACTGTGGTTTTGAACTCTATATCCAGTCTTTTGTTCTTTATTTCTTTCTTTTGTGTTTTGTTTCCCTGTCTCCTCATTTTCACTGCTTCCCTGAGTTGGTAGGGTAGCTTTGTATGCTGGGTATCCTATATGATTCAATGGGTCAGCCTCCCAGTTACATGAGGTGGACA